AAAGAAAGAACAAATATGGAAGAAAAAAAATGAGTGTGTCAAATATTATGTTTGTTTTTTTTCCAAACCAGGACAAGAATGGGAGAAAAGTGGGAGGAGAGAGAGAGTGTGTTATATGAAGCAAAGCTTCTTATAGAAGCTATAATGTAATTTAAATGAATGTTTGGGAAGCTAGCCATGTGGTGGCTTAGTAAGGAAGAAGGGCATTAATGAAATTTCCAGAACATATAATTTTTTTATATGATAAATAATGTAGGGTTCTATCATTTAATTGAACGGTCAAAAGGAAAAAAAAAGGAAAGAAAGCAAGTTTTTTTACGGGACCTACAGACAATGAAATCAAAAACCTTTCTGTTCAAAATTGGAAAGGAAAATATTAATAAAATTTCTTCGCTTTCTAAAAAAATTGGAAAGAAAATGAGGAAAGAGATTTTTTAAGTATAAAATGGTCCTTATTTTTAATCACTTTCTCTTTAATTTACATGTCGGTATGATTAGTTTTTCCACTTTTATGTTAAGAATTTTGGTTTAATTTTTTACACTTCAATAGTTATGTTATGTTGTCTAGTTCATTCGTTTTACGATTATTCATCATTTTCAATTCTTTTTTTATTTTTTATTTTTAAATCTGATGGTAGTAGTTAAAGTTATGATTCTCTTTTTTAATTTGAGTCTGTTAAAATCCGGTGACATATCATATTCTTCATTAAATAGATTATAAAAATAGAAGTGTTCAAAATCGAATCAATCTAATAAAAAATTACTCACTGAACCAAAACAAATTGAAAATTTGCAAAAAAAATCACATTTAATTCATATGTGTTTGAGCCATTTATTTACAGAATCGTGCGGTTTGATACTGTTTGTGATTTGCATTTTAAAATCGAATAAAATCAAATCAAACTGTATTATATTGTAATCGATTCGCTTAACTCACATTTAATCTGAACTCAACCCTATTATTAAAATCAATTTGTTATAAGTTTTAGTTTCTGCGAAAATGAAATTCTATTTTCTAATTGAATTTAACCTTACATAGATGTGATGTTGATTACTGAAGAGAAATTTACTTATCAAATGATTATATTTAATGCACATGCAATAAAATGCATATTATATTATATTTTTTTCTATGGAGTACAATATATTAATAAGGGATAATTGTAAATGGTTGATTGATAAATGACGCCTATAACAGGTAAAATAAAAAGAATGGTTTATAAATTGTGTATGTCAACATTTTTTGTTATCTTTGACGTAACATGTTTCTCTTCTTCGTCAAGTGTTAAGATTGCACTAAATTTATGGAGAATTCCGAATCAATCTTTATGAGTAAGATTCAATCAATCGATCAAATTTCTCTCTTGTTCTTTAATTTTCACTCGACTAAATCAACCAACATTATTTGCAAGATGATTTCGCTGCACAATTGTTAATGAAAGAAGAAAGAAAAATAAAATTAGGGAAGAAAGGAAATTAGGATTTTAGTAAAATAAGGGAAGATGATGAATATTTCAGCAGAGTTTCTCTCTGCTTTCAAACTAGAATTTACTCAACTATGCAATTGCATTGGTATATCACAATAATAGGAGTTACTCCTCATTTATAGATTTTGGATTTGCTTGCTCCCTAAACAAAGTCCAAAATACAAAAACCCAAAATATCTAATTCTGCTAACACTACAAAATTAGTTCTAAATCGAAATTCATGTCGAGCAACCTGCTTCGATATTTCGATAATTAAACAAATTCGACACACACTAGGCTACTTCGACACTATCTTGTTTCTGTCAAGAAACCTACTCCGACACAAAGAATTACATTCTCAACACACCACCTAGTTTATTGTGTCTAAGCTATCTATATTCATCGTAGATTTTAATTTCTTGAACACTTCGACCTACACTTCTTTCGTTATGCCTGCATTCCTGAATAAACCCTTAGACAAAGAAGTTTATGTTAAACAACTAATTGGGTTTGTGAAACATGACGAAGATAGAAAGGTGTACAAGCTGCATAAAGCTCTGTATGGATTGAAACAAGCTCCAAGAGCTTAGAATAAGAAGATTAATAATTTCCTAAGGGAGAAGTAATTTGTGAAGTGCACAACTGAACATGGAGTATATGTAAGAAGAAGCAATAGTAAATTGCTTATACTATGTCTCTATGTCGATGACTTGTTAATAATAGGTAGCTGCAAGAAGGAGATCGAAGACTTCAAAGGTGATCTCAACAAGGAATTCGAAATGTCTGATCTGGGTGACATTTCATATTTCTTTGGCATTGGATTCTACAAGAGCAGTAGAGGTTTGATGATGCATCAAAGAAGATATGCAAGTGAAATTCTCAAGATATTTGAGATAGAAGAATGCAACTCGACTTCGACACCTGCTGAACCAAGGTTGCAACTATCGAAAATTTCAAAAGATGATGATGTCGACCCAACCCAATACAGAAGACTTATTGAGTCATTAAAATACCTTTGTTATACAAGACCCGACTTAGCATACAATGTAGGTATGATAAGTAGATTCTTGGAGAAGCCAAATGTATCACATCTAGAAGCAGTGAAGAGGATACTAAGGTATCTCAAAGAAACTCTCAACTATGGCATTTTGTTTCCTGCAGCTGATAAAGAAAAAGAATGCAAGTTAGTGGAATACATTGATTTGAGTTGATGTAGTGATGCCGATGATCGAAAATCCACAGCAGGATATGTGTTTATGTTAGGTGATGCACTAGTTGTTTGGAGTTCGTGAAAGAAATTAGTAGTGGGATTATCATCGTGCGAAGCAGAATACATAGATGATTCTCTTTGTGCATGTCAAGCAACATGGATGGTGAATTTGGTCAAAGAGATAACAGGGAAAGATCATGGAGCAATTACCCTGAAGATCGACAATATGTCAGCTATCAATCTGACAAAGAACCCGATAGCTCACGGTCGAAGCAAGCACATCAAAATGAGGTTCCACTATCTTTGAAAGCAGGTAACAGATGGGAAGATGAATTTGATATATTGCAGAACTGAGAATCAGATTGCAGAATCATGACGCAAGTGTGCGGGTCGAAGTATTTTGAAGACTAAGATCTATGATGAATATATATAACTTAGACACAATGAATTAGGTGGTGTGTTGAAAGAGTAATTCCTTGTATCGAAACAGTTTGCTCGACAGAGGCAAGAGAATGTCGAAAAGATTTAATTTAGAAGTGTGGAAATTATTTGTTACGCACAGATTTGTTTTAGATTTAGATATATTTGATTTAGATCTAAAATAGATAGATTTGATTTAGTTCCAAAATATGTATTTTGGACTTTTATAGTTTTGGGCTTTGACTTAGGGAACAAGGTAACCTAAAATTATAAATAGAGGGAGTAACCCCTATTTTTTGTAATCAAGTCAATCAAATTGTATTCGTAGAATTTTGCAGTTGCAAAATGAATAATAAAGTTTTTTCACAGTTTGTGGACATAGAGAAACTCGGTAGAAAAATACTTCCTTTCTTCATCTTTTATTTTTTTTCATTGTCATTGTGTGATGATATCAATCTTGTTCATCAAGATTGGTTGAAATTCATCATAAGTTTTGGTGGATTTCCAACAAAAAATAAAGATTTCTTTAAATTCTGCTATGCTTCAGCGCTGCTACATCCGTCATTTGACAACAATGTAGTAAACAGTGTGTACCATTGTTATAACACCACTACAAGCGTCATTTGAAAGCAGTGTATTAAAGAGTTGTGATGCCCGCCAGATGTATAGACTCGGCTCAAGAATATAGAGATTATATTCCCTGATATGCTTAACGAGAATACTCCGTAGCCACAATACCAAGACGGGTTCAGATTTTTGGAACCAAAACTCTATTGTACAACTAGCTATTGCGATCACAGCCTCAGCTAAGATATATATCAGCCTCAAATTCTGCTTGTTATAACGCTGATATAGCCACTATTTGACAACATTGCACCAACACTTGGCAAATTGTACCCCTAACACAGAAAGGGGGACTATGTGAGAACTCCAAATGATGATTTAAGTACACCGAGTGTTTGTGACTATATAGGAGGAGTCTCTTTTGTAATGACATATACGACGAGCCTACTCTTCAAGACAGCAAAACCCTTTCGGAGTAGTGATTGGAGATGTAAGAAGTTAACCAACTTATCTAAAGAGGGTTCTAAGCACAACAACAAAGGAAACGACTTGACTGATTCACTTCCCCAAAGATTGGACGGAAGAACTGCTTTCAATGCGAAAATAATTTCTGGTTTTACTACACGATAGGCTTATTGTAAACTGCAAAAAATACTTGGATCTAGAAAGTAGAATTAATTTCTGCTTTCCAGGGTTTCTGGTTCGACATTCTATTCTCACACTCTTCACTATCGGTTGCCACCACAAAATACTTGTAAATTGAAGAGACAAATTGTTCAAATAATTTTGTAGTATAAAAACAAAAAACAATTTTTTCAATCTCTTCTTTCAATAATTCAACATTTCTTCCAATAGTTAAGTCAATAGTTGTGTGATTAATTAAGAGTTAACACGTCAATAATTCAACATTTCCCATTTTAGCAAAGTATCAAGAGCAGTAAACTAAAGCCGAATGTTCTGTTGAATGTTAAAGGGAGGAAGATTAAACATGAAGGGTAACGTCACAACTCAATAAGCATCCAAAACGAGACTCTACAATCTTTCACAATCAACAACTTTTAAAATTTCTCATGCCTGTAGTGGCAGATCCATAATAAAATTAAAAGGTAGACATTATATTTGACAAGTATAACTTCTTCCAATATTCATAAAAAGTTTGGTTTTATAGTCTAACAAAATCATAGTTCAACGCTGGTATTATAGGGCTAGTTTTTCCCTAACTTCATCAATTTGAGTTAATAAAAGTAGAAATCCACCAGTTTTTCTCTGTCTATGTTAACTTGTCCTTGTCCCGTCATTCTCATGCAGATTCATCATTTCTTGACATTATTGAAAAATATTTACTGTACAGTTGGAGTGCGCATGAACAGAAACTGCAACCAAGATAAAAAAAAAATAGTTGAGTCAACGAACATTGAAGCATAATACACAAATCTTCAGTAAGTACCATGGTGTATACCTCAAAAGACTTCCCTGATCTTTCAGCTTCTAGCATGCTTAGAGCAACTTGACAACTTTGTGAGACAAGAGCTTCTGGGTCTGCCGTAAACTCCTCAAGAAGGGCTACACTTTGGTCATCTAAGGGCATACAACAAAAGAACAATGTAAACGAGAAGATTCAAATACTTAACAGTACTCACAACAACACAAATAATGAGAGTCTCTTGTAGAGTCACAAGAGATGGGGGGCATAGGTGCCCGAAAACATTGTTTTCTAAGGGTTGCCACAACATACTCAGAAAATTAATATCACATTACAACTATAACAGTAAAATAAATGTATCAAAAGAAGAATATAAAGGTTTTGTTGACAAAGATTTACATCTCAAACTGAAAGAGATTGATTGCATCCGAGGACTGATAGTTAGATGCTTCTTCACAGTGATGCATATATATACTAAAAGCTGCAATCTAAGTTAAGTTCGGCTGCTCATTACAAAAAATAATGCTTACTTTGATTGCTACTGTACTATCTATTCATGAATTCCATACATTGCACAATATGCTTGCATTCTCTTTTTATACACAGATGACCCCACAAAGCATGACAGTTATTTAATAGTAACTTGTATTATTGACAGCAAAAAAGTTACATCATACCATAATATTTGGTTATAAATGCAATACCTGCAATTGAACCAAGAGCTTCAGCAGCCTCGTGTCTCACCATTGGGTGCTCATTTACATCTCTAAGTATATTGGATAGAGCAGCTGAAGCAGCTTTGTCTTGCAATTGGCCCAATACGTATGCAACCTAATTCACAGCAAATATTGCCGTTAAAAAAATTAAGAGATTCAAACACCTGTACTCAAATTTAAGCTCTATCCTTAAAGCATTCATCGAATACTATACTTATCAAACCTCGTGTTTCAGTAAAGCACTCTTGGAACCCAAGGAATCAATAATAGCAGCAACAGCTTTGTTTCCACCGTCATTTCGAAGTGCAAAAAGAGCTGCATATCGCTCATACATCCCTTTTTCCTCATCAAGAAGTAACTCTCTAATATTGATTAACACTGAGTTAGCAACCAACTAATAACACAGTCTGTTTAAAAAAGAGTCTCTTCTAACAGAATGAACCAAACAAACCTTAATTGATTAACCGAAGAACAAGACGTGGCCGGTGCTGCAGGATCAACAGACTTAAACGGAGAAACACCAGGTGCAGTCGAATCATCCATAGTAGCAGCATCTTTTAAATTCAGAATACGTTGAAGAGCCAATTCACACGTCTCTCGAACCTCTTGAGCCGGATCAGACTCCAAGCTACGCTTCAACAGAGAAACATTACTATCTGAACCAATAGCACCAAGTGCTTCAGCCGCCTAAGCGAGATCATAACAAACACAATCATCTTAAAACTGAAAGAGGAAAAAAAAAAGCGATACAAATTGAAAAAAAATAAAATAAAAGGCTACTATGGTACTACCTCGTGGCGAACAATGGGATGCAAAGAAAGATCATTAAGTACTGAGGTCAATGCAGGGATGGCTTCCAGTTCTTGCATTTGACCTAATGCAAACGCAGCTTCATGTGCCAACAAATTGGATGAATCTCTAGTTGCTGCCAGAGAACAAAACTAGTCCAGAATCAGTGCAATAAACCACTTAACAATAATTATTGATAAAAGCTCTATTTTGATAAACAACTTAATTAAGCGCTTATAGATAATAGAAGATAGAAATAAGGCTGGGGAGTCTAGGGAGCGTCAGAAGTGTCAATGAGCTAAGCGTTCAGGATCCAAGAAACCTAACACAACATATTCACCCAAAACCTTAAGGCAATGGGCGCATGGGTCTATTCTCTTCTATACCTAACTAACATTTCCCCCATTTCTAATTGATATGAGCCTTAACCACTCACACTTTAATCCCAACAATCTCCCCCACAAGTGAGTCACCCACATCAGCAGCCTTGATCCATACTAGGATCTCACTTCTGCTCCTTCACCGAGCCTAACCTGGCTCTGATGTCACTTGTTGGGGAGTCTGGGGAGCATCGAAAATGTCAACGAACTAAATGTTAAAAATCCAAGAGACCTTGACACCTTAAGACAGTGGGAGTTTAGGTCTATTCTCTTATATACTCAATATTCTCTACATTCTACTCGTTGTGGGACTTAAGCACACATACTTAATCCCTACAAATAAAGTGAAACTTTACTATATAAAGCACAGTATTTTGCTTATGTTATAAGCTATTTCATAAACTCTATCAAATATACTAAAAAGTGCTTATACTAATGCAAATAGATAAGTTTAATCGAATCAATACTGACACCATTTAAATCGATTTCGATAAACATAGTGCAATTTGGATAATAGGGTTATCGAATTGAAGAGAAAAAGGAAAAGGGGTGTGTCAAACCGAGGATGAGGGCGGTGCGAGGAGCGGGACCTTTGAGGTTGCGAAGAGAGAAGAGGGCTCTGAAGCGTTCGGAGATGGGTTGAGTGGAGTCCAAGAGCAAGTCACACAGGAACTTTTCAATCTCTGGGGGGCACGAAGCGACGCCGTTTAGCGAATCTAAAGACATAGCGATTGAGAAAAACTGTTAGATGTTATATGAGTTGGGGTTTATGGAGACGGTGGCGGAATTGCAGGTTCACGAGTTTGGTACACTGCGTAAAGTGTTACAAAAGAATCCTCTGATATATATAACTTTTTTATTTTAAAAGTTAAACTACTAACAAACAACTGTTTTTTTTCTCTCTCTCTCTATATTTTTTGTATTAATTAAAATATCAGAAAAGTCCATATACACCTTTTTGGTTTTACATTATAACTTTTCTGATTTCAAGAGTTATAAAAGATTATTTATAAGCTTGCTCAACTCTCGTTTATTTGGTAATAAATTTTGCTGACATGTCTTTGTAATAGAATTTAGAGATGAATTTTTGTTTTTTTATAATACAATTTGAAAAAATCTTACATCTACTACATTACATTTGGTTAACGTACATTGCATAAGAAGTTAGTAATCAACTTTAAATCGACTGGGCAATGAAAAGTCCTTTCTCTTTCCAATATTACATATCCTCTATATATTCATCACAATTTATTCCAATAATTCTACTACATTAACATATAAATCACAATAATATTATGTGACTTTGAACCCATCCATGTTTCTCTTCTAGTCCCAGCTTCATTGTTCTCAAACGGGTAAGAAATTCCGCTTCCACTATCCATTATCACTTATGATTCATCTCCAACTATATTTAACTATATTGTTGTCTTCATGGTTTTTTCAAACAGTGATACAAATCATCCAATGGCGTACTCGATTGAAGCGGTGAGGGACGTCAACGACTCAAAAGATTTGTGGCAGATTGTTGTTCTTTGTAAACATATATGGACTGTGACAAGTGCATCCAACAAAGAACACTTGAAGCTGATCTTGCTTGATTCAAATGTATGGGTAATGAGTTTATTTGTTTGTTTACATTACATGTTGAATCTTAAAAAGTTGTTGATAATAGTTTCGTTTTTTATTTCCACGTTGTTGATTTTGTTTTTTAGCTTGACATGATTCAAGTCATTGTCCCACCGCATTTGGTATCAAAATACTTGGTTGAACTTGTTGTGGGAAATTCATACATCATGTAGAATTTCAAGGTTTCAAATAATAATTTCTCTTTAAAATCAACTACACGTGGTTTCAAGTTGGTCTTTTGTAGTTCAACTTCTATTAAGAAAGCAAAACTACCATACATCCTTGTAAATTATGTCAACATACTTGGTTCGGCGTCAATAGTTGATGGAAGGTTTCAAGCTAATTTTTTAGTTGGTACGTTTATTCGTATATTTATAGTTAATTGTTAATTTGATATATGAACTGTATGTTGAGCTTTGTAATTTTATTTTTCTTAGACGTTATTGGAGGAGTTACTAAAATTATGCAGACTCAAATCAATGCCGATAACATCAAAAGTAAGGTTGTATTTATAATAACTAACATGAGGTATGTTGTGTGTGTGTTTTTTTATGTTTACTTCAAATATTGTATTTTGATTTCTTTGAGTTTCCATGTTTAGATTCATATTTGATGTGGCATGTTTTTCTTTGCAACAAATCTTTGGTTTAATGTATCTTATGGGATCAGCTTGCTATGCAGTTTTACGAATATTACAAGAGTCACAATGAAGAAGGAAATGTTGTTGTTCTATTTCATAATGCAAAGATAAAGGGTGTAACTCCCGTAATTTAATTAAATTATTTTTAGATTATTTGTGAAGTTGTGTTATGATGATAGACGATGTGTTGTTGTTATTTGGATTAATTTATTCGACCAAGTTGTAGAATAATATTAGAATAATATTATTATTTGATGTGGGCTTATTTTTAATGATTGGAAGTAGTAAAAAGGGGGGTGTAGGAGTTAAAGCCCATTAAGACATAATAAGAATTATAGTGTTATTATATTGTGTGATGCGGTGGGAGAACTGACTTGAGGTTTTGTGTTTTATCGCAAATGTTGCGATTAGCAAGAGTCGCCACCGACTTTTCTTTTATCCAAAAGGAAAGATGAAAAAGCACAGGAAAGACCTTTGAGATGTTTTCTTGAGTTCGGGGGGTAGATTATGAAAAGGGGAGGTGCTAGCACCCTTTTCATCCATGGTTTTCCATGGGCTCTTAGTTACTTGCTTAGATCACTTGCTTTGGTTTGTTTGAAAATGGTGTTTGATGTGGTTTTGAAAGTACTTTGTAAAAGAGGCCATTCGTTTAGGCAATCTTTGTAATGATTCACGTTCGTAAGAATGTATACAAAGATGTTTGTCTTTTGAAAATGTTTTCAATGTTTGTAAGATGTTTTTGAAATGTGTGTGTGTTTGTTTTTGAAAATAGCAAGGATTGTTTGAAATGGAGCAAGTAACTTAGAAGCTATCTACCTACTCAAATGTCTTTCTTGTGCATTTTCTATTCCTTTGACATTGTTGGCTTACCATTGATTTGGTAAGCAACCCTATCTTTGGATGTAAACGGGACGGGCGTGGGTCATCGTACAACCATGATAGCAATGTTGCCAAGTATCTTAGAATTTTTGAGGGACCAAGATCATTTTGTAAGGCAACTTTTGAATAGCGTCATCGAGGGACTATGATCTTATATTTGTTTTATTTTGTCAAGATACTTCGCATGCGTAACATGGCTATTTTATTTTAGGCAACCAAGTGGGAGAAACCCTAAGGGTGCTTGTGTGCAAAGTATATCATTTTCATGCTTTTGATCTTGCATTTAGGGTTTTCTATTTGTTTTGTTTCGTTCTTGTCATACAAACCCTAATTACTAATCATGACATATAAAAGCAATAAATTGCGTAATATAAATATACCAAGCTATTACAACAATTTTATGGGAGGGGGGAAACTACAAGTTTGAATGGGGATTTGCACAAATATAAAGCTAAATACATTATTACAACCAAATCGAACTTGCGCGAATTAAAATAAATATGATACAAAATTTAGAATATAATGCAATGTACATATGAGAAAAGATGTTTTATGTCTTGCTTTTGTGTGAAAAAATATTGAATTTAAACCTAAAAAAATACAAGGAAAAATATTTAATTCTTTTGAAAGAGATTAAACTCTAATTTTCATTTAAAAGAAAATAATGTTTCTATATTATTATTTTGGGCATTTTTTGTATAAAAAAATAAATAATATTATACATAAATATTAAAAATTAAATATGTGAAAAAAATAAGTATTTGTAAATATGAAAAGTAAAATAAAAATATTAAGTATATTTAATTATATTTATAAGTTTATTAAGAAAATAAATTAAATCCTATCAAAATAAATTAAATTTTATGTGAGAAATAATAAAAAAATAAAATAAAAGTGTAAAAATAATTAAATTATTTTTTTAGGATTTTTTATCATTAAAGAAAATAATTAAAAGTATTAAATATAAAAATGAAAAAAAGATAAAAAAAATGAAAAGAGTTAGCAGGGGGTGAGAAAGCAAAACAGTGGTGATGTTAGCAAAATCAAAAAAACCCAGGAAGCCAAAAAGCCCAAAACAAGCTTCATCCCTGTCATGCCTTCTCTTCCTCACGCCATGGCCGGTCAACCTGTAACTTCCCCATACTTGCATAAAAATGAAAACTTATAACATGAAAAATGTAGCATTTGAACTCACGATTCCAACCATATAAATTATGTAATCTAACTATCAAAGATCAAAGAAAATTTTGAAATCCCTAAATCCTAACCTAAAACTTTCAGAGATTTCAAACTCCAAATTCTCTTAGCACAAGTAATATAAATGCAAGATAATGATATGTACAACTTTGTTATGATGAGAACTACATTTTTCATTCATACATCGTGGCCTGAGGTTGCCTGTACAAAGAGATAGAGTTTGAAAAATTACCTCCTTCAGCTGGAATCGTGTATGGAAATGTAGGGACTTTAATGGAGGCCTGATGATTGCTTGAGCTTCCTTGAGCTTCCCTGAATCTATTTCAACTCTTACCTTGCTCTGTAGGTGGCTAGAACTTCTTGACCAAGTCCAACTGCAAGCTTCAAAGTTAACAATGGCAGATAGTGAAATAGAGGTTACAGAATAGGGATGATGGTTTGGATTGACTAGGTATCAAGTATGTAATGTGTTTGAATGATCCAAACTCAAAACGCACGAGCCAAATGGAATATGGAGATGCTTGTGCAGAACCTGCAGTTTTGGACAGGTTTTGGGTGTTTTTCAGCTTGAGAGAGTTTCAGGTCCTTGCCAAGCGTGTTATGTGTTGCATATTGTTTGCATATTAGTATTGAAATGATCTAAAGTCAGCTTCCCGACAAATCTGCCAATGCTAGCCTTTTTTCCAACTTTCTCGTACTTGAAGCAAAGTGACAAGACCAAAGCTTCACATGCTTGTACCAGCTTGCTTAGGGTTGGTATGAGTTTGTACAACTTGCTTGAGACCTGTGTGGTTTGTATGCATCAAGGGGACATGTTCAAAGCTCCAAGTTGAAAAGTTTGCAAAAGTGTTTCTTTATGAAAATGGCAATGGAACCTTTTTGCCATAAGTGGAATTATCAATTGGATAAAGGTTCAAAAGCATGGATAGAGGCTTTGTCAACTGAGTAAGCATTTAATTAAGGAGTTTGTAGCAAGTTTAGGACCTGTAAAGCATGGAATAGCCAGCATAGGATTGGTTTGCAACTTGGTTCTTCATGAAAATGGCTTGAACAAAAAGTGAGAAAATGTCAATTTCCTCTCTTCCATTCTCCCTACTCAAAAATGATCTTGGAGAGTTCTTGGATATTTTGGAAAGCTTGAAATGTTCTCTATAATCCATCTTTGAAATGAATTTTAAGATACCTCTTGTAAATAGGTGGAAAATTGCCATGAAGTAAGGTCCAAAACCTGCCTAAATTAGGGCAAAATTTCACTAAGTTAAGAAGTTCATGACCATGTATTCATAAATTTATAACTTGAGATCCAAGCATATTTAGGGAAAAGTTTGTGAAGAAAAGTTGTAGATTTCATGGAGGTATACAACTTTCATGTTGGGGACTTTCC